GGGGAGGGAGCTGGGAGCTGGCATGCGGGGGGTGCATGGGGGGGGAAAGCCAGTGCCCAGCATATGGGGCAGCAAAGCAGCTTTTCGAGGGTCCGTGCTGGTGTAGCCTGTCTCTGGGCTCTTGGCGATGGCCGCAAGCACGGCTGTTCTTGGCCTGGGGTGCGGTAAGGGCTGGCGGGGTGGTCAGGAATGGTGACGGTGGGGAGGGAGCTGGGAGCTGGCATGCGGGGGGTGCATGGGGGGGGAAAGCCAGTGCCCAGCATATGGGGCAGCAAAGCAGCTTTTCGAGGGTCCGTGCTGGTGTAGCCTGTCTCTGGGCTCTTGGCGATGGCCGCAAGCACGGCTGTTCTTGGCCTGGGGTGCGGTAAGGGCTGGCGGGGTGGTCAGGAATGGTGACGGTGTCCAACGGGGGCAGGAGGAGCGGGTCTGGGGAAGCTGCTTGTCTCCTACATGGTCTCTAACCTGAGAAGGGTCTCGTAGAGGTCTGGGTTGGAAAGCGAAACACAAAGCTACTTGATGCTCCTGTGGTGCCTTCCTTTCGAAGTCCCTCAGCGATTGTGTTTACTTCCAGGGGCCTTGTGCCCGTGGTCACTTGGGCATTTCTGACACTGAGATCCTTAGTTACTGGAACAAGAAACCCCTCCCTCCAGTTTGTGGGGTTTCCTTGTTTGAGGACCCTCCATAGAGCAAGGGTGGGGCCTAGAGATTTGTTTCTTGAAAAATAATCCAGTTGGACTTGTGGCTTCAGTGAGAGCCCAGATCCTCTGACTTCCTCTCTCCTGTTGGTTTCAGAGGGAAAATGGTCCCACTTCTGAAATCCGTGGCTGTGATGGGGAGACTGGTGGAGATATTCAAACTGCCTTTTACCCCCAGGGATCGACCTTTTGTTTCAGTTGCTATCACCAAGGTTTGTTGATCTTCACTTCACCTCAGTCAGTATGTATCTCCTGGATCATAACTTTCTGATATGTGCCTCAGTGGAGGTTGTTGTTAGTCAGGCGAGGTCCTCCCGATCTGTTCCTGACCGGTGTCTGGCTCTGTTGCTGATGGTAACCAGAAGGCTGCATGCATGTATGCTCGGTGATGTGTGCTGTGTTGATTTACGTGTTAATTAACACGGCAGACACCCAAGAGAGCCTCCAAAGACCATAAACCAGATAAGGATCGAAGGCACCCGGCCAGGTTTATTGTTAAGCGAAGTACAGTCACAGTTGTCAGTAGACTCTACTGAACCACTACGCATATGTACCCCATAACAATGGAATGACTGCCCCCTAGGTCATTCAAAGACTGTCCCCCCAAGACAGCACTTTATATTCAGGTACAAACAAGTTCTACCTCACTCCTGACGTGTCAAGTTACCACCCTCTGACGCTACTGAGATACCACCCATCATCCTGTGCCTCGTGGTTCAATTAGATCATCTCTATCCACCATGCTGTCATTTTAGACCCTTTCCTGAACCTGGGTCGGTATCTGTGAGGAGTGGGTCCCAAGGTTTTTTTTTAATGAGCTGGTGGTACCATGTGCTTTCAACTTATGCCCAGTACCAATGACTGTTCTACATTCGGTACCTAGTACCAATGACTGTTCTACACCTGGGCCTATTACCCGTTAGTGCTTTGCGCTCTCAGCCCTGTTTGTGCCAAGTTCTGTGAGCAGGGGCCTGCCTCTTGCTCACAGCTTAGCTTTGCTTTGTTAGCCATGTTTTGTCCATTGTGAGCTAGGCCTCTAATCAGGATTTTGCTACATGGGCTTTTGTTATAGGCCTTCATCTTACTACAGAGGTCAGTATTTCCTTGCTGTGTCCTCTGTTCTGGAAGGACATGTGTGTCCGCCATGGCTGCTTATGAAAGCTCTTTTGTATGTTCTTGTACCAAAACTTAGATCCCATTAGATGAGCTTTTTGTAGCAACAGGTTTGGGTGGGGCTGTTATCTTTCTCTTCCCTAATGGATAACGTTATGTGCTGCCACACCCAGACTGATAATGTTCCTCTTCACACCTTCTAATGAAAGGGCAGGACCCAGAAATGACTACTAGTAGTTGAACTTGCATTTCTGTTCTTAGAATCACAGGGTTAGAAGGGAACCACAAGGGTCATCAAGTCTAGCCTCTGCCAAGATGCAGGAATTGTGTCTAAACTGTCTAAGACAGATGGCTCACCAGCCTCCTTTTGAAAACTGCCAGTGAAAGAGCTTCCCCGTTCACCCGTGCATCAATTCCATAGTCCCACGGTGCTCACAGCTCGGTGGAAGTATTCCCTGAGCTTCAGTCGAAATCTGCTGTGCTGGAGTTTGAGCCCCTTGCCTCTTGTCCTGCCCTCTGTGGCCAGAGAGAACAGCTTTTCTCCATTTTTTGTGGCAGATTTTCAAGTATTTGATGCTATTCTTGCTCCTTAATATCTCCTTTTCCAAACTAAATGTCTGCATCTTTGGCTCCCAAATTCAGAGGCGTCTAGAGAGGCCCTCAGTCTGTTCTTACTCCGACATCTCCTAGGCCAGGCAGTGTATGTTGCAGAATCCTAGCGGGCTGCTTGTTGTCAATTTGGATTGAAGCCAAGAAATAAATGTGGTCTGAATCTCAGGCAAGACTTCTGCAGAGTAAGATGGAGCTGACGGGAGAACAGTTTCCTAAGGAAAGTGGAGATTGTTTAAAACTAGGACCAAGAATGTCTGTCTCTAGGGACCAGTCGCGCTGGCCCCCATGGGGAGGAGCAGGGCCGAGGTAGGAAAACTCCATTAACATCTTTTCAGAATAGCTTCCCGGGCTTGTGTGGCCCACGCGGGGAGCTTGGGAGGTTTCTGTCCGTGGCCGGGCCCAGCCAATGCTGGCATTTACTTTCCACTTCAAAAGCATATGGTTGCTCCTATCTTGCACTATAACCCCACTTTCACCTTTGACCTCTGCCAGGCGACTGATAGAAACATTTCTGCAAAGCCCTGATGATAATTTCAGGTCTCTTCCTAGTTGTTAGTAGAACCTTCTAGTGTGCTCCATTTCTATATGACCTCAGAGTGTTGCCCCCCTCCAGCAGGCTGCAGGATGCACGGAAGGGGGCAAGCAGGCCAGGGGGGAGCTGGGAGCTGCCCGCCCCCCAGGATGCGGCCGTGCAGCAGCACTTGTGCCTGACAAGTGCACAGACCCGGATCCCCCCTCCGGGGAGGAGCCGCCCTCTGGGTAGGACAGTCCTGGGCCATGGGGAAGAGCTGCCACCGGAACAGTGCCACCCTTGCTGCCTCAGGCAGCCCCAGTAAGCCCTCCCCAACACCCATCCCCGTCCTGTGCCCCGTCCTGAGCCCTGCACCTCCCACCTGCCTTGACTTCTGCACACCCCAGCCCCCCCGGAGGAGCCTCTGGCCAGGGGGCACTGCCCTGGGAGGAGCTGCCGCCACAACAGTGCCAGCCCTGACATCTGCTAGTTTCTTGTATTGTTAATTCCTGAAACTCCTCCCCTCCTAGAAATATTCAGTGTCCCAATAAAGATCATATCAATGGTTAGAGATAGGCAAGTATCACATCATGGCTGTTTAACGGCTTGGGTGAGGGTGAAGGGGAAGGGTGGATCAGACACTAATTGAAATGTTTTCGTGTCAGTGACCTGAAACATCAAATAATTAAAGTCTCCCCTGCACCCACAAAACCTCAATTCTGATGAATCCTGATGGACCGAGCAACCTCACTGTTAGGCAGATGTCTTTGTCGGGGTTCTGCGATCAGTCTTGCCTGTAGGATCTGCTTGCTCAGTCTGAGTAAGGAAGCCCCCACAGCAAAACGTAGGGATCCTGTTTCTCCGCATGTTGCTAAATACTCGCTGTGGGCGTGAGAGAGTTCTAATTATAGATGTAGTGAGGTTTCAGGAGGTGAATGGGGTAAGTTGAGGTTGAGCAGGCGTTTGGCAAACCCCTACTTCCAGTCATGTTGATCAGACTTGCCCTTGGTTTGGGAGGCAGTTTTTTCCCTTGAGCAGTTCAGTTGCCTTGTGTGGCTTCGTGATTTCTGTTTAGAGCAGGTTTCTGTGGGAGTCCTGAGTATTTCACGCCAGTCACAAGTGCCCTCAGAGATTCCCTGAGAGCTCTGAACATACAGCAAACGAGACTTCATTGAATGACCTGGGAATCTGGATGAGGGGACGTAATGTCCTCTGGATGGTAACCTTTTCTGGCAACTGCTAGAGAGACTGAAAGGGATGGAGTTATACAGGGAAGTTTGTAATGGGACGGGTGGGAAAGCAGGGGCATTACATGGGTTATGCGGGAGAGCCTCTTCAAGAGGCCGGGGAGATAGAAATATCTGTGGCCATTGTGCGGGGATGCTGGTACAGCTGAAACTTTAGTGCTAATCCTGAAAGCACTTGCTAAGCATTAGCACTCTCAGCCCCTACTCCAGAGCGAAGGGCACTGCTGTTCCATTTTTTGAAAGGGCAGATGGATGCAGACAAGAAGGGACTTGCCACAGGAGACTCGGGGAATCGCAGTCGAAAGCTGTGATTGGAATTCAGGATCGTCCGGCTCCCAGTACTTTGTCCAGATCACAAGATGATGTTGTCTGGAGATTCTTGTATGATCTGCCCACAGGCGTAGTTCCCACTAAGGTGCAGGCCTGCACGGCCGCACAAACAATTCTTCCCCCGCCCACCTCCTCTGGACAGCTGTGCAGCAGCACTCGTGTGGCAGGCGGCTGCTCCGGCAGACGGTTGGCTAAGATGGCATGGTGAGGGAGCTGCTTGGGGCAGGGGGCCGGGCCCTGCCGCAACCACGGTGGGGGAGGGAGGGTAGCTCCAGTGGCCGCGGTTGCCACGTGGCGGAGGGTTTGGGCCTGTTCTGATGACTGGGGCCGGGAACAGGACCTGCCACGTGGCGGGGGTGGGATGTCTGCTCCAGCAGCTGGGAATGACATGTATGGCAGAAGGCCATTTCTGCCCCAGCGGCCAGGAACACGTGTGTTAATAAATTGGGTGAATGTTGGCACGCATCCAAACCAGCGCACATGACCTCAATACTGGTGCTCAACCCAACTCACTCCGCTCATGGCTGGAAAATCTTCGAGGGAGCACTGCCCACAGGTGGTGTGCTGAGGTGTGTGCATAGTACTGGCTGTCAAAATCTTTCAGCCAAGTTGAAATTAATCAGACCACAGTACCTGGTTTTAAACCACCTGCTCGTCCTTCTCTAGCCCAGGTGAGCTGCCCCACGGGTTCTGTGGGGACATTTGAGGTAGCAGCGTAGTTAGGCAGGCTTTGGGTTTCACAGAGGGTAGGGAAATCATCTGTCCTGAAGTTCTGGCAATCTAGATGAGATGGATCTGGACATGATGAAGGAAGACAAGGTGGGCACAAGGTTTGCAGAAAATGGCTGGTGAGGCCGCTTGTTTTCCCAGTTTGTACCTCGTGTGCGTTCTCTTCGCGAGGTCTGCTTATGTGAACGTCAAGGGCGTTTGAGTGGCTCTGCTGCAGAGACTGGGGAAGCACCGGGTTGTGGGGAGAGGGCGTTTGTCTGATGTGGGAAAGGGAAGATAGTCCAAGCCTAAGGGAATCTCAGGAGAACGCGCAGATGTGTTTGTGGGACCGAGCTAAGAAAGAGGCAAGAGCGGGTTGACATTCGCCGGCACAGAAGCTGACCAGAATAAGGGCAGGAGATGGGAAATGAGATCTAATCGGGGCAGCGATGATACCTGCCTGAATGGATATTTGGGTGTTTCTGTTTTGAGGTGCTGAGCTGCAAGAAGTACCTGCCCTGACCCTTGTATCTGTGTTGTCAAGTGTAATGGCTGTTTGGCAACACCATTGTAGCCAAATCTCATGTAGTTGGATTTGTGCTGAAAAAGCCAGGGACGCTTACCTAGTCGTGGTTCCTGGCTTTTCTGCTGCCTTGGAACAAGTAGCCTAAGCGGTGACTAAATGTCAGGA